AAAAAACAAACAAACTGGTGAATCCTCAGCAGGCTTGTTAGACTGCATGTCTCTATTCACTGCTTAAAAATATTCAAAACAGGAAGAGAAATCTTTGTTCATAGGAAATTACCACTCCCATTCAAATCAAATTTCATTTCAAGTCCCCTTCTATCCTACTGTATCTATTCATAACGCAACAATATATTCACCATTGTAAAAATGAATTAACAATTGAGCAACAATCAGTAAAGATTAACAATGCCTCATTTTAGTAGTTCAGGGGGTTCTATAGGGATATATCAAATGAATCTAAAAACTCAGCTCCTGCTTTGGACACTTACAGTCGACTCCAATAGGGACAGATAGAGTAAGGATGGCAATCTTAAATGAGACAGTCAAGCCATTCTCAGACATTGTCAACAACGTCATCAGTAGCCAGTCCACCATACTGTAGTGGAGCCCCTCTGGCTGTTCAGTCCACTGCTTCCCATCACAGCACAATGTTTATTCTGTTTCATCCGCCTAAATACAACCAGATCTGCTTCTTATTCACTTACTGTGAAACCTGCTTTGTCTGCAGCTGCTAATAGCAACAACCTGTTGAATTTTTGTAGCAGGAGCCAAAAGGATAAGCACCTGTTGTTTGTTTCTCCCTTTCACATGAACTGGATGACACATATGAGTGTTTTATGATCTGCCACCTCCTTGGCTAAGGTTTGCTGAAATTAGGGAATCTAAAAATAATTGTTTACACTTGTGTTTACAGTCTGACTGTACAGGGGAGACAAGATGCAAGTGGCATCTCTAGTATGTCAAGGCCTTTGTGCAACCAGGAACCCAGTCTTATTTCCAGGAATTCACTACTGAGAAAGGACATCAGCTGTAAAATGAGATCTGACAGAGCATGGAGAGAAGGTTAGACACAAGTACATACAATAACATGCTAACGATATGAGTGAGAGCTAACGGATGCTAATTCACTCTTGCAAAGACATGTCCAGCTGAGTTTCAGCTCAAGCAATATATGGAAAATAAAAATATATATACTGTATAGATAGATAGATAGATGACAGAAAAAACAGGATTCCTGGTGACCTTTGACACAGGCACATCCACACACACGGTCAATGCTAATGTAAAAACAGTCTATTTAGGGCAAATAACCTCAGACTGGACACAACAGTTCAGTGCTCAAACTCATGCGAAACACATGAGGGAAAAAATCTACTTTGAGTTTTGTCTCAACACAACTTCAGATTGCTAAGTATCACTTCTTAGAAAAAGATAAAGAGGTAGTTTTAAGCATTTGAACAAACAAGTGGATGAGTAAATAAATGCTAAACTTGTGTCATGTGCCTTGACTGTGTCCTTACATCTTTGTAAGGTTGCTTTGCAGGTGGAGAGGGTCAGTCTCTCTGGAGCATCAGCCAGTCCTACAGAGTCTCTGCCTCTGACTCATTTCCTGTTTGCCTCTGTCACTCCATCCTGTGCTACGCCACCCATCAAATGGAACTTTCCACCACATTCACAGCTGGCGAGCACCTTGTTTTTGAGATAACACTGAATGACCGAATGAGGTTTATCAGAGGACAGGCAAAATAAACACATCTACATGTTCAGATCGACTGGTAAAGAGCTGTGGTTTAAAAAGAAAAAAAGATAAAGGACAAGATGCATGTATTAAATCTGAGAAATATCATTTGAATACATATAACAAGCTGGAAACACAATAGATATTCCTTTCTTCTCCTGCTGCTACAGAGCCATCCTTCCTTTGTCAGCCTGCATTCTATACGAATGAGGGGCAGGTGCTAGGACAAACTGTCCAAGAGTGCGAAGCCACATGTACCACAATCCATCCCGTTACTCCCTCTTCTTCTCTTCACATCGTCCGGCCTGTCCTTCCCCATCTCCTTGCCCCACTCTCCATGCCTAGCTATGTGTTATGAATTCATCTGCAGATAAAGCAGATCTATCATTCTGTCATGAAGGCAGGGAAGGGAGGTAGACTGTGGAATGCCCTGGCACTGAAAGCAGGGAAAGGCTGTGAGCATAGTGCTATACTTCGCCGCACATTCCCGGCTGTGCCTGCTCTCACCCTCTCCGGCTCGGTCTGCCAGCCTGTTTTCACGATCCATACAATGCCCCCTCAGCAGACCCCCCTATCCATCCCTGTCATACACACGCCAACCAACACCCCCACAGCCATCAGAGCTCCAACTAAGCAACCCAGAAATGTAATAACACATGGCTGGCTTAACGTGAAATCCCCCCAGTTATAAACCAAGGTAAGCTGTGGCTTGGACTGGCTTGACTGACTTCCAGCTCTGTCTCCAATTACACTAAACACCTTCTTACCAGTCAGATAGGAGACAAATTACAGGACATGTCCACAACCGAGTAGACAGAACTGTAGGTTTCAGAATCCATGTGCCCACTTGAGCCAATCTCCCCAGACTGAGTTAGCAGATAACGCCTAGCCAACATTTACAGCATCTGGCTAATGAGACAGCAGGCTAAAATACCACAGTGTGAGTCTGTGCCACATGTATGCGTATATTGTGTACAGCATGTGATGTATGCATATCTACATGCACATGAACTTGTCTTCATTCACAACATATATTACAAGCCAGTGTTCATGCTTGGCTTTCAGCCAGGGCACGTGCAGCCACAGCTGACCCTTTACACGCTCTCTCACTGCTGTTACTACAGTACATTACAAGTGTGACCAGATCTAAGTACTGTGTGTATGGGCTTGCACAACTATGCATCATTATCTCAGTATCCCATTTTAACTTCTTGTCTTTGTTGTCTTGTCACATCTTTCTCTGACTTTTACAGCAGTTGACACCCGATTTTGTCTCCTAGAAATGTAGTTTATATAGTAACAAACACTTTATGAGAAATGTACTGCAATGTGACCAAGACTTTTGTTTTTCTCAACTTGTCATTGTATGTGTCAAAATGAACAAGCATACTGTTTGTATATTGTCACTGGTTTTACCTACAGTGTCTGATGATGATGACTAAAGCATGCTTTATAACTTTATGGTGATGTTCGGGTAACTCAGCACTTTTGGTTAGGTGTTAGAGAAAGGCTTGTGGTTACCGATAATATGGAAAAAGCTGATTCTGACTGAAAGCGGGTGTAAAATTTGTGGCACTGCTGTCAGTGTAGCAGCTGTCAGTCATCTGAGACCTCGGCTGAGTTAAGAGTATGTTTGTTAATCGCATCGCTCAGCAGAGGAGAATGTGAAGAACTCTTACAGGCTTTCAGGTGAAACCACGCTTCAATTATTAAATGAAATAAAACATGATTTGATTGGCAGGAGACTACGTGACTGAAGTTCCTAAAAAGGTTTGCTGAACTCTTCAACCACATTAAAGTTTGGTTGCTGTAAACTTGCACGTTCTTCTATGCTTCCTTTCAGTTCACATGTGCGCAACAACCTTCAGGCAGCAGGTGCTAAGTGGAGGTGCATTCAAACGAACACTGCTGTCGCTGTGCTCATTTACATCATCGGTGTTAGTACACACACTGTACTTACGACTGTTGAAAAATTGCGTTGCCTCAGTATTTTACATTTCTGATGGTGATTTGCGACAGGTTTAGTAAATATCTCGAAAGATGTTTACTATTTAGCCACGCTAGTAGTTTGGTCCTTGGAGATGTTCGTCTTTCTGTCGCTCCACCACCATGGCCAGACTGAAATATCTCCTCTACAGAATGAACCATCATTACATTTTGTACGAATATTCATGGTCCCCAGATGATAAATCCTACTGACTTTGATGAGCCCCTGACTTTTCCTCTAGCATCACAATAAGTTTGAAGTTTGTGATTTTTGGCTCCACAGCTACTGGACTGACTGCTGTGAAATCTGTCCACATCTTTGTGAAATACCTGCCTTAGTTTTACTTTGTGTGCTTCACTCTCATAGCAAATGGTTAATCAGTGGTAAACATTATACCTGTATACTGAACATCATCTCAGAGCTGTTAGCGTGACTGTGGGCTCCTGTCCCATCAGCAGTGTATATGAATGGAATTCATAGGAGACAGGGTTGGCTGACACATACTGTGACAACAATTGCTTCTGACATAAAAATCAAACTCACTAGGAATAATTATTGAAATTTTGATCGGAACTAAGCTCACTTTGGTTACAGTCGGCTGGTGCTACATTTTAATCAGCTCAGTTATTAAGCACCAGGTAAAGAAATCTGCCACAGTGAGTGCGGCGCTCTGTAATGAATCCCTTAATAAATATATTTTTATTTTTGCTTTCTTTCTTGCATTTTCTTCTTGACCGGGTCCATTCTATGTCTCTCCCTCTTTCTATATTCTCTTCTGTTTCTCTTCCTATTCGTCTCTGAGGGAGAGAGGAACTGTGTAGTGGGAGTGTGTTGTCTCAGTGCCAGGTCAAAAATAGACAGTAAATTACAGAGCCTTCTGAGAACACCCCACTGTGCTGCATGGCCTCAAATAACACACACAGACTCGCATGAAAACATGGAATACACAGCATGCTGCCCTATTTCTATAGTTCACCTTCAGCCTGTTGAAACACTGAAACTTTTGCAATGTACCAACCGACAGTCCTGCGCTGAAGTTGTGTGCCAGTAAAGGAAACTCTGAGTGTGATTCACAGATGTTAATGTGAACCGTGGCCACTTCTCGGATTACCAAGACACAGACACACACACACATAAAAAGTATTATTACAGATATGTATTTATCCCCTTGCCTTGGCGTAACTTCACGATACTCTTAAGAAACTAAAGCTTTCTTTGCAGCAAAAAACTGCTGTTTCCCTGCAACTTTAAAGAGCTTGTTCTCAGAAGAGAAGCCCTGATCTCTCCAGTACTGCATGTTTTATTTAGCTTTTTTTTGCATCTGGGCTCCAAAGTAAAGCTTACAACATCCTGAGAGAATGCACACCAATCCTGCAAGCTACAAAAAGAAAAGAAGAAGAGTGGTGATGAATAAATATCAAAGATGTTTGTTATACTCACCTTGAGTGAGTCAAAACAGGCAATGACTCTGCCGTTTTCCACTTGACAGCTCTTGGCAGGGTGGGCGAACTTGCACTCGCTGTCCGGTCGTGAACACATTCCTCTCTGGAATTCCCGACAAACCTCCAATGTCAGCCACTTTGTGTCCCGAATTGGTGTCACATTTACAGCCATTTTGAAACAGGTAGGAGGGGTCAATTAACAGGAAGAGGTTTCCAGCAAATGCAATTATGTGTGCGTCTGTTTGTTTCTAATGACAGTGGGACAGATGAGGAGAATGAAAAGGTAAAGGGCATGGGAAAAAGCCAGTTTTAAGAGGTTTTGTCCCCAGGGTCAAATTCTAAGGAGAAGCCTGTGAGGCCTGGGACTTTCCTACCACCTGTGGCCCATCCTAAGATTCTGTTTGTGGCTTTAATAGGAATCCTTGTCCACCTGTCACCCAGGGCCTGGGTTGGTGATGGCCACAGAGGTTTGCTTTGTAATCTCGCTCTTGTTCTCACTCTCAGACACACACAGAGCAGTTCTCTCGATCACCTCTCTCCTCGGCCGGACTGTCAGATTAGATGAATGGCAAAACACATTATTGATCAAGCTGGCCCATGATGAAAAGATGCAGGGCTTGAGGAAAGGAAGGAAGAGAAAGAGGAAGAGAAGGAGGAGGATGAGGAGGAGAAGACTGTGGCAGAGGGGACAGCAAAGAGACAATCTCCTTCCACTTGCAGAAGCAATAAAAGCTGTCTGTCTTCTGTATCAAACTCTGTCTGGAGAGGAGAGGGGAGTGGTTGACTTCCACAGAGGAGTGCTGAATATCATGGATGGAGAGAGGTCTGGCTCACAGACAGAGCAGGAGGTGGAGGGAGGAGGAGAGGTGTCAGTGGTGTGGAGACTGGCTCAGAGGATGGGGCTGGCAGTCCTGGCAGTCCTGGGGCTCCTGGTGTCGCTGGCAACTCTGGCAGACATAAACAGGCACAGAGGCAGAGGAGGCTTCAGTGGAGCCAAACAGCCACAGGGGTCAGCAAAAGAAGGCACTTCTCTCTGTGGAGAAGGAGGGAATAGTGTCAGTGGAGCAGGACTTAACACACACTCATGCACACACACAACTCAAACACACAGCTTCGTTCGAACATATTTCCCTTTCGCCCTTGTGCTCATCCGCTCTCACAGAAGCCCTCCCAGAGACTGGCAGGCTCTCAGCTGGAAAATCAAATCAAACACCATATCACTAAGAGTAAAGCTCACACATTCAGGCACAGACAATTTATTTCAAAGAAAGACAGTGAAGAACAGAAAGAGAGTGAGAGATGAAGTGACAGGTGGAAAAAGACAGAACGTGGGAAGAATTGTGCCTGTGCATCCGTGTGTGTCTAAAAAGTGACCCATGGGGATGGGTGATACTAAAAGTTTTAATGCCAATATACAAGAAGTATTTTATCCAAAAATACTAATTATACTATTCTCTAGTAGTAATTGCTTTAAGGAATGTAATTAGCAAAGATCAGCTTTTAAAAATGTACAAAGGAAAAAATTAAAACCATTAAAGCCTTTTTACACAGTCTCAAAGTACCGATTAGTGAATTAAGCAGTCCACCCACCCCTGATGAGTTTGGAAACAGCCAGTCAGCTGGCTAAATGGTCACAGCTTCACTGCTGGCTGGTGGCCAGGTGAGACAAGAGAGAAAATGAATAGATGAGGTCACAATGAGAAAGAGAGAGAAAGTAAGAATGTGGCATATTTTTATTCTTTCCTTTTTGGTACACTTGGTACCATTTCTACTCCCTGACGTGAGCCGCTGCATGACAGCAGCACACGGAACTGATGCCAGGCTGTGTGCAGGCTGCGCAGCAGTCTGACTTACTTTCCCTGCTGTCAATAATGCCCGTAATAAAAAAATATATATATATTGCGCTGATAATAGTTATCACACACAACATCTGAAACTCCACAGTCAGCTGACAAACACTTTGACAAGCTATGTTATTAGAAAATAAAGACAAACAGCAACAATGATGAATGCTGTGAAAAAGGTGCTGGTGGTAATACAGTGTCTTGCACTGAATGGTTACGTTTGCTAGATTTGGATGTCTGTGTTTACCACACCAACAAATGGTCTGAAACATAAAAATAACAAGCATGGGCCTGGTTTAAGAAAAACATTTCTCTGGCAAAGGATAAACCTTAAGTCCTGTATGTGAACAGAAAAAAAAATCACTCTCAACCTACTAGCTTTTGCTGCCCACATGTGCTGTAGAGGATGTAACAGATTCATACATTTTTACTCTTGGGAATGTCACAACGCGCGCTGGAAAATGAAAGTAATCATCACGATGAGTGAGACTGAAAGCTATACTCCAAAACTGATTTAAACCTTTTTATCACTAACTGGAAAACACTGAGACCCCAGACTGATGACATGTAACGGTGGCAAAGCATTAAGCATAATTTTCTTTTCTCTGATCTCTAACAATTGACTCTGCAAAAGAAAAAAGAAAGCACAAGAAAAGAGAAACGTGAGAGAGAGGAAGGAAGAAGTAAAAATACGCCTTGGTTAGACACTAGCTGCTTATGTGCCATACTCTCTGTTCCTATTTGGGCCAGTCCCTGCGGTGAACTACATTTTCAGGCCAAAGCTGGTATTTTGGGCTGTGTGTGTCTATGTGGAGAAGATCAAGAGGCCAGGGCAGCCCACTGTATCTGGCATGAACACTGTGGTAAGGAAGAGAATACCATTACCAATGCATTAAATATGGAGTGGCAAAATTAGTCTTCTGCATGGCCTATTCTCACTCTCTCTCTACCGCACGGATAAATCCCAGGCGTTAGGAGGGCAGATGGCATTTTCTGCTTGCAAATCAAAGCAAGACGATCTACATATAAAATGCAAATGACTTCAGTAATGTTAAGTCCATTTAAATAAAGGGAAATTCTGGTATTTTTCCTTTTGTTCATATTTGTGGCCACTGTGATTACAGGTCCAAAGGAGGTGTTTTAGCCTAGTTTGTCAGGGCTGAAGCTGCTACTGCTGCTTCTCTGCTAACATTCTGCTTACGGTAAAATGAAGACATGAGAAACACACCTCTAGCAAGCCAACATATTTTAGGTTAAATTAGTGTAAAGCTTCCAAATCTTTCTAAACTTCAGTTTTATAAACACTTGTCTCTGAGTCCATTCAGAAGTAAACATAGATCCTAGCTATTCAAGAGAAGTATATAAGAATCTATTTTTGGTCAAACATGACAAAAAACAAAATGTATTTATGCACCTTCACATCAATATCTGCCTGACTAAAAATGACAGATCAAGAATGCATTTCAGAATAGGACCAGCTTCACTGTACTGTACTGCACATGTAGTTAAGTGACTCACCACAAACCAAACAGCATAATAAGGCCTTTATTTGGACTGTATTTCAGGCAGAGATACAGTAGACGATAAAGTGAATAAAGGCAACGACGAAAAAGTATCATGAAGAAGGCCAGAAAGCCAAGTTTTAAAACTCAGACTAGTTCTCAATCACAAAAATACACACACACTTGCACACCTAAAGTACAAGTTTATAGTCTAAAATGTGTTCACCACACTTCTGTTGCTGCTGTGTCAGAGGCTACAAGTCTACGCAGAGAGGAAAACCCACTGAATATCCAGCAGCATTGACCTCTGACATGCATTGACATAACAGAGAGAATATGTTCCATTTAAAATGACTGCACAGATGAAAAGAAAGGCAATAGCTGGAGAATGTCATCAAAACAGACTTGACACGCTCACCCCAGAGATCTAAGGCTGTTATGCTAGTTTTCTCAAAGAACTTGTGTTTTCCATGCAGCACTTGTGTAATACAGTGGTGAAAACAACTATCATAAAACGGGCAGCCATGAGCTTTAATGTCAAATAATTTATGAGGCTTCATGCACATGTATTTTTAGCCCCAGTTCCCCACCAATATACTGTATGTCATGCCAAGAGCTTGAACTAAAACTAATGTCAAAGAAGTTGAGAATGAGGACGGCTCTTTTGACAGGGCTCACATCAACACAGAGGATTAAAACAAAGGGGTACAAACATGTGAGAAATGGCTCTGGTATTGGGGAAATATTTAAATAAAAGAGTCATCAATAAGCATCTTAGCATGTATGAATAATGCATGCGGCCATTTCCCGTAGCCAGAGGCAGAAGATATTATTACACCATCAGCTCAACTAGCCAAGGTAATAAGTTGGAAAGGAGAGGGGGGTGGAGAAGGCTGGCAATATTACACACACCCCCAAATCCTCCAGTACAAAAATACAATACAAGAGTGGCACTGGGGTTCATGTATCTCCTCATTTAAAGGAAGCCACCTGATATGGTGCTAATCCCTCCACTTATGGTGCCAGATCAATGACTTTAGTCTTTAGCACTGAAAAATAAAGCTTGGCATTGAACACAAAACTGTAAAAGAAAAGGTAAACATTGGTTTTAAAGCATTTGTACTGAAAAACACTGGCATTAAAAAGTATTATTATCTTCAGATTTTTTATCAATGTCAATGTTCATCAACAGCAAAGTTTTTTCTTTCAGTTTCACTTCTGTGTCACTGTTTTGGCGTGGAGGGGAGGGCGTTGAGGGGCGGGGCTAAGGAGAATGTGATTTGCATACTCTAGTTGAGATCCACGAGGAGAGGACAGCCCTCTCCCCTGACCTGCTGTCTGCATCGAGGCTTCTGTCTGTCGAGCATTGCCGCATAGTTACTGCAGCAGCTTCCCTGAATTCAGCTGGAGCTCTCAAACTGCTGTGTTTCTCTCTACTGGAGTCTTTACTCGCAGAACTGAGCTTACATTATGCTGGTGTGGCAGAGGTCTGCTGCTAATGTTAGCTACACGTAGGCTAAAGCTGATATAGCTAATGATAGCTATTCTTTTTCAGTACAGATGCTTCAATGCCAGTGTTTTCTTTTTCAGTTTGCAATGCCAAGCTTTATTTTTCAGTGCCAAAAGCTAAAGTCATCAATCTGGTGCCATATCTGCTAAAATGGTGATCTCTGGATTAGTCCATGTATCACAACTGTCCAGAAAACACATACCAATTTAGCCTCCAGTGACACTACTGCTTCTGGATTAATGACTGTTAAGACCCAATTACAAACATACTGTTGTAATAACTGTATAACATTCACACAGGTTACATGAATTTGTTTGCTAACAAACTTAGGCATTTGTAGCTCTGTTTTCCTGCCAGTGCAATTTCTGCGTCGCCTCATTTGCAGATGATACTAGTGACTGTGTTCTCTGGAGGACTGCAATCAGTTTCACCATAAACACACTGATTACAATTTAATTTTATTGTACTATTTTAAAAACAGTGAAACATTCATAAAGTTACATGTGCGATCCCACACTGGATGCAGATGTGTGTAAATTACACGTATATGCTGGTTACAGGACCAGAGACTTTTTATCTTCTATGCACAAAAGCTGTTCAGTGAAATCAACAGACTACTGAGTGAATTTTTATGTGCAGTACTTCTACATAAATAGCTTTGTCTTTGTCAGTCTAGGAATTGAGTGTGTAACTGGCAGGAGAAGAAGACACGGGGAAAGAATCTTTCATCTCATATATTCCCTAGTCTTGACATCAGTTAGTCAGGTTGCTGCCCTGCTCTTTAAAGGAGATGAGAGGAGCTGGTTTGGTTGGACATAACTGAACCTGGCCCCACCTCCACCTGTTCACGATGTATACCTCCCTCTAGTAATTTATTCTGCCTCCTCTCCACAATGCTTCCAATAATGTCTGACTGCACTAAAACTGCAAAACATTGTTAAACACGTTCGTTAAGCATATGTTACGCTTGGAGTTTAGACACAAGTTTAGCACTGCACATTATTGCAGGGAAATAGAGCCCAGTGTGGCTTATAAGGATAAGGATAATTACCTTTATTGGCCAAGTATGTTACACACAAGGAATTTGTTTCCGGTACAGAACCAAGGTAGCCATCTGTGGCGCCAACTCAACCGATGGCTCTAACCATCAGGGGCAATTTGGAGTTCAGTGTCTTGC